CGGATGAAGGTTTTTTACCAACATGCATTCTATGCAAGAAGGTAAAAACCTTCCATGTGCAGCAGCTCCCCCAGCCCAATGCTCACCTGAGCCAGCGATGTGCACAAGAGTCTTGGTTTGCCAGGGACTCTCCCTCCTCATTGGCTGAGACAGCAGTGGGAGTCATTGGCTCCTGCTGCTGTCAATCACAGCCAGTGAGCCAATGAGGAGAGAAAGGGGGCAGGGCCGAGCCATGGCTCTGTGTGTGAATGGACATGCAGAGCAGCAGCACAGGCACATTCCTGCTTAGATGCCCTTAGCAAACTGGTTGCTGTGGGGGCACTTGGTAGGAGGGGCCAGAAGTGACCCAAGAAGAGGAGGATCAGGGTTGCTCTGGGCAAAACCATTGGACAGAGCAGGTAAGTATAGACATGTTTGTTATTTTATTTAACGGGTGTACCGTTGTCTTTGCAATGTCTGACCTTAAGAAAGATGGTATATACAGTCATGGCCGAAATTGTTGGCACCCTTGATATTTCTCCAGGAAATCATGTATTTCTCACGAAACGTATTGCATTAACACATGTTTTGCTATACACATGTTTATTCCCTTTGTGTGTATTGGGACAAAACAAAAAAAGGGAGGAAAGAAAGCAAATTCGACATAATGTCACACAAACCTCCAAAAATGGGCTGGACAAAAGTATTGGCACCCTTTCACAACTGCGGATAAATAAGAATGTTACAAGCATGTGATGCTCCTGTAAACTCACCTGGGGCAAGTAACAGGTGTGGGCAATATAGAAATCACACCTGAAAGCAGATAAAAAGGAGAGACGTTCACTTAACCTTTGCATTGTGTGTCTGTCTGTGCCACACTAAGCATGGACAACAGAAAGAGGAGACGAGAACTGTCTGAGGACCTGAGAACCAAAATTGTGGCAAAATATCAACAATCTCAAGGTTACAAGTCCATCTCCAGAGAACTAGATTTGCCTTTGTCCACAGTGCGCAACATTATCAAGAAGTTTGCAACCCATGGCACTGTAGCTAATCTCCCTGGTCGTGGACGGATGAGGAAAATTGATGAAAGATTGCAACGCAGAATAGTCCGGATGGTGGATAAGCAGCCCCAAACATGTTCCAAAGACATTCAAGCTGTCCTGCAGGCTCAGGGAGCATCAGTGTCAGCGCGAACTATCCGTCGACATTTAAATGAAATGAAACGCTATGGCAGGAGACCCAGGAGGACCCCACTGCTGACACAGAGACATAAAAAAGCAAGACTACAGTTTGCCAAAAAAGATGTACTTGAGTAAGCCAAAAGCCTTCTGGGAAAACGTCTTGTGGACAGATGAGACCAAGATAGAGCTTTTCGGTAAAGCACATCATTCTACTGTTTACCGAAAACGGAATGAGGCCTACAAAGAACAAAACACAGTACCTACGGTAAAATATGGTGGAGGTTCAATGATGTTTTGGGGTTGTTTTGCTGCCTCTGGCACTGGGTGCCTTGACTGTGTGCAAGGCATCATGAAATCTGAGGATTACCAAAGGATTTTGGGTCGCACTGTAGGGCCCAGTGTCAGAAAGCTGGGTTTGCGTCCAAGATCCTGGGTCTTCCAGCAGGACAATGACCCCAAACATACGTCAAAAAGCACTCAGAAATGGATGGCAAAGAAGCGCTGGAGAGTTCTGAAGTGGCCAGCAATGAGCCCAGATCTAAATCCCATTGAACACCTGTGGAGAGATCTTAAAATTGCTGTTGGGAAAAGGTGTCCTTCCAATAAGAGAGACCTGGAGCTGTTTGCAAAGGAAGAGTGGTCCAAAATTCCGGGTGAGAGGTGTCAGAAGCTTATTGATGGTTATAGGAAGCGACTGATTTCAGTTATGTTTTCCAAAGGGTGTGCAACCAAATATTAAGTTAAGGGTGCCAATACTTTTGTCCAGCCCATTTTTGGGGTTTTGTGTGACATTATGTCATATTGCTTTTCTGCCTCTGTTTTATATTTGTTCCAATACATACAAAGGGAATAAACATGTGTATAGCAAAACATGTGTTAATGCAATACCTTTTTTGTGTGAAATACTTGATTTTCAGGAAAAATATCAAGGGTGCCAACAATTTCGGCCATGACTGTAAGAAATTCAGGGGGTTCAGGTGAGGCCTTGCAGAATCAGACTGTTACTGGGTATTATGTAGCACTTATAGTTCCTGCAATCTAACTGCAGCCTTAAGCAGGCCATAGACGAGGTGAAAACCGAACGAAAATTTAGAAGTTTTCGCATCATTAGTATGCCAACTGTGACATGTGATTTTTGTTCTGCAATCAAACATGCCTGATCCAACATGATGGATTTTTTTTTTCTATTCTGTTTATTATTTTTAGTAAACAGTAACAAACAGACAAGTATAAACCCATGCAGGGGCATCATGGATTAACAATAATCCTTATAGTTAACATTTGAGGTATACACTTGAACATTTAAGGTGCAGCCTAAGGGCTTATAGAAAGTAGTAAGTATATATAATGAAGATCACAATGTGGATTAAATCAGCCAAGTGGCTGTACATACCAGGGGCGGACTGACCACTTGGAAACTCGGGCACTGCCCGAGGGCCCGGGGTCAGTAGGGGGCCCCATGAGATGCCCCTGGTACCTTTTTGATTGGCTTTTTTGAGTTTGGGCAAGGACACTGGGGCCCCATGATCCCCCACTGCCCCGGGGCCCCATGAGTTGTCAGTCCGCCCCTGGTACATACCCAGGAAATTTCACATATAGTAAAGAAATCACAGTGAAGAAGCGGCCGTAGTAGGCTCCGCAAGCCACTTGGACCATACTCTCTCATATTTCTTAGGGCAGCCTCTGTTTATAGAAGTATCTTTATATAGTGGTAAACTAGTATTTACTAGTTGTTTCCAAAAGCAGATAGTTGGGGACTTTTTCCAGTGTAAGGTGATGGCCTTTCTGGCATAGAAAAGTAGAAGACTAACCAGGGACCTGTCTACTGTAATGGGATTTTCAACTAGGCCTAATAAACAGGTGAACATGGTAGGTCTCAAAGGGATGGACGTCAGTTTGTTAATTGGTGCCATGACCTGCTCCAACATGATGGATTTTTATTAGAAAAACAAAACAATTGATGGCATAGTTGTATGAGCTTTTTCGTTTTTTGCTCGACAGAACTTTTGGATTTTAACATGTCTATGGCCTGCGTTAGTCTTGTTTACCCCACTTAAAGATTTACTTTCAGCAATAGATCGTTCATTTTCAAAGTAAACTACTACATTCTACATTAAAAAAAATACTAAATTGTTCTGCATAATTTAATTCATTTTATTAATGTGTGTTAATATTTAAAACCCAACTCCAGCTACTCTCCACCAACATTTGCCATTTCCCTTTTGGGCCTTCCTGTGCACCCTAATGTTCAAAAATAAAAATCTGTATACACACCTTTGTTCCATGTGGCTTCAGTCTTCCTCCTCTGGTCATGGGCAATGAGTGGCTCTGCGTAATGAGGTCACATTCTCTGCTTGACCTAAGAGGGCAGGTCCATGACACCCTATATTCACGAAAAATGGACTGAATGATTTAACCCAGAAGAGAACCAGCACTGGATAGCAAAGCAGTGAATCTGTGGGGAGCAGTGCAGGAGAAAGTGGGAGTATTGCAGCTAGAACGACTTTTTTTTTATTTTAACATGATTTGGAGACTTGTTTTAATATCCTGGAGTTAGGGCCAGTACACACGACATGCATTTTAGTTGCTTTTTTTCTGCATCCAAAATGTACAGAAAGTAGGTTATATGGTTGTCAATGTCATAGTTCACATCAGTGCTTGCAGTTCCAGTGCATTCCAGCTGCAGAAAAAAAAGTAGAACAGGCTGCATTTTTCCTGCACAGAACTGTACTGGAACGCGGTAAAACACATAAAAAATGCACCGTAACGCACTGGGACACACCAAAAACGCACTGGAACCCACATGTCCCTATTTAATTGAAGAAAAAGAGAGGGGGAAAAATTAACTGTAACAATTCAAAAACACACCGGAACACGCAATAATTGTGCAATTCCAAAACGCATCCATAAAGCATCTGGACTGCGTTTCTATAGTGTGAACTGGCCCTTAGACTTTAAAAAAAAAATTCTATTTATATGCAGGTTATGGTTCCTTCTTAGTAGTGGGGAACAATACTTTATCGTTTTTCTCTGTCTGATTATAACTGATTAAAAATAACAGACCCTCTCTGTGGCATCAGCCTAGTACACATGGGCCAAATGTCGGGCGGCATTGGCCGGTCCAATAGAAACCAGCTGAAATTCGACCTGTGTGTAGAGCAGCCAATCTGACAGAAGTTGGCTGTTCGGTTGGCATCTGTCGAAGGGGTATGACCGAAAAAAAGTCTCCTGATCGCCTCCCAATCAGCGTTCTCTGCCAATGGCTAAGAGCACTGACCGGAGTGTTCTGGCAGGGGGGCGCTCCCCCTGTCAGAACACATTAGCACAGCAGAGATCGCTGTACTAACATCGCATAGTTAGTACAACGGCTCCTCCTGAGCTGTCAATTTTTCTACGTTCAGCCTGCTGGGTTGAATGAAAAAAATCTAGAAGTGTGTACTAGCCTTTAGAAACAGGCTGATTTAAAGCAGTATTAAACCCAAAAGCAAACATTTATTATATTGCAGCTTACTAATTCTTAGATGTGATGGTTGCAATAGTTTTCTTTTTTAGGTTTTCTTTCCTTTATTTCCATCTTGTGATCCAGCCAGGAAGTCTGTTGTTTTTCAACAGAACAAGTTTCTCTGCATTTACACTAACAAGGGTGCTTACCAGGGGCGGACTGACCATTTGAGCACTCGGGTACTGCCCGAGGGCCCGGGGTCAGTAGGGGGCCCCATGAAATGCCCCTGGTACCTTTTTTATAGGCTTTTTGAATGTGGGCAAGAACACAGGGGCCCCATGATCCCCTATTGCCCGGGGGGCCCCATGAGTTGTCAGTCCGCCCCTGGTGCTTACCATGATCAGTGTTTATTTATTCATGTAAAACCTTTTCCCAAAAGAAAAAGAAACTGTTGCTATAACCACCTATGTCACCGAAGCAGGGGCGGACTGACAACTCATGGGATAGGGGATCATGGGGCCCCTGTGTCCTTGCCCATACTCAAAAAAGCCTATAAAAAAGGTACCAGGGGCATCTCACGGGGCCCCCTACTGACCCCGGGAACTCGGGCAGTGTTCGAGTTTCCAAATGGTCAGTCCGCCCCTGCACCGAAGTGTGAGTTGGAGTTTTTTCTTTGTGTTTATGTATACAAATCTGCTAGTACATTGAACACTCCCCTTCTCCACCCCCAAACAATGCTGCTGTCTGTGTGCCCTCTGTGCTCCTTCACCTAGAGTGGGGGACCTCTAATACAGGAGGTGTGTTACTGGCCAGATCACCAGGTTAAAACAGAGGGAAAAATGCCTAACAATACTAATGCAGCCACCACATCCAATGATTGGTAAGCTGCAATAAATACAATTTTTGGTTATGGGTTTTATACTAACTAGTAAAGCCAATGACCAAGTACAGGGAAAAATTGTTAAGTTGGGCTTTCATTAAGGACCCACATGTGAGGATGTCTGATTGTGATCCCTGTACTTAAGTACCTGATTGTGCATTGATGTTTAATGCATACAGTGCAGTCCTAATTCGCCATGCATGTTGAACAGCCAGGTAATGCTTTTATGTCTGCTATTCCTCTGCATGTCAACATTTTTTAAAAGTGATCGGTTTTCTAAGCAATGAATGCACATGTGTCAAGCTAAACAGTTTTTTTAAAAAACGCTATATGCCGTATTTTTGTAGGGAAAAAGCAACATATGAGAGGGCATTCATCCTTGGAATTTCTAATCCAAGCACCAGTGTTTGGAATCTCATACATCAGCTAATGCTTGAACTTCTGCACATGTGCACAAAAATATTCGCATGAACAAATCACTTGTTAATAAATTCAACATATGTATCAGTAGCCTGTATGTGCACATCTCCACGCATCACTGGTTGGTGCTCCATAAGTGCATTTAATTTAGTAAATAAGTGGAGTATAGAAGGGCACTAGGTGGGCAGCCTAAGAAAAAATATAAGATAATAAGCAAGTAATATAATGAACGTGTAAAAAATGGGGGAGAGACAACAAAAACTACTTCAAGGGAAGCATTAGTAAAATCATTGGAAATATAGTATATATAGTTACATAGTTAGTCTGGCTGAAAAAAGACAAAAATCCATCCAGTTCAACCATAGAAAAAAAAAAGTTATAATCCTATACCCACAGTTGATCCAGAGGAAGGCAAAAAACCCAGCAAAGCATGATCCAATTTGCTCCTGCTGGGAAAAAAAAAATCCTTCCTGATATATTTTCTGTTTGTGCCTCAATAGGTTGATCCACCCTCTCTATTTGTCTTTTTTACTGTTATCACAGAGAGCAAAAGTATAAGAAAATCCCAAATTTTGGGTTGTCACCAGAACACAAATAGAGGGGAAATCTTCCAATGGGGACACTAGTTCTGGTGAAAACCAGGGATTCCCTCACTTTGGAGGGATTTCCTCTCAATTCCTGTTTTGACTATGAAAGTGAAAGGAAATCTCCCCAATGGGACACAGATGGCAAAAAACAACACAAAACAAAAAAAAACAACAGGGGGCATTACTTTCCTTTACTTGATCCAAAGTTTTAAAAAAACTTTTGCCTTTAGTGCTACTTTAATTAGCTTTTGCTAGACAGTTTTAATGCTGCTTCTCCTTTCTTTGACAGTAAAACAAAAGTATTTGGTCTATTGCCATGTTATATAACTTTATGCCTACTGTAACCAGCCAAAAAAGGAGCCCCCTTAAAAACAGCATTAGCCTTTAGTACACATCTCTTGGGGAGCCTGCATGTAATCCATCACACATAGATGTCCGCTGCCATTTTTTATTCACATATCTTTATGGTTTAAAACATATTTCTGTTCTGTTACGAATGAAATGATTAAACTGAGAACAGATTCCTCCATCGCTCAGACTTGTTTTATTGAAGATTCAGTAAAAATTTCTGTCATAATCTCAGTGAAATACTGAATTGTGAGCGGTAATAAATAATCGGAAATGTTTCTATCTTGGAGGAATGTTGAGCAGGAAGAATATGTTTTTTTTTACCACTATCCTAAAATGTGAAGTACTGTAAACATTTCTCCTAAAATTTAAGGGATTTTACTGTACGGAGACATAGAACCACTATCACCAAGGCCTATGTATGAAAACAATATGAAGTGAATGCATATCAGCAGAGGGTTTTATAATCCTGCAACCAGTAGAAACAGTACATCAGTGTTGGAATATATCTATCTCCCCATTATTTTATAGGGAAACAGCACTTTTGCTAAATAAAATAGTATAATATATAATTCCTACACAAGCTATTTTAGATTGTAATGCTGTTAGAAATATAATTCCCTGCCTCTGTGACTGACTCACTACATTCCCCCAATGCCTCTACAGACCTGGAAGTCAAATATAGGCATGTTCCACAACTTAGATTTTATATTTTTATACATATATATACAATGGGGAAGTCTTCTTGTTGGTGGGACTTTAATGGCACAATTCTCTTATATGATAAACTTGAGCAATTCAAAAGTTTAAAAGATATGCAGTTTTATTTTTACAATCCTAAAAACAAACATAAAGCTACAATACAAATTGCGGCGGTATCATCAAAGATGGTATTTCCAATGTAGAGGTAGGTCATGCATAAATTGCACAAAATATATATATATATATATATATATATTGGGTATAAAAAAGAATCACCCCCTTTAACCGTTTTCCCATCTCCCTATAGCAAAAATACTGCGCAAAATCACACACATATATATATATATATATATATATATATATATATATATATACGTGATTTTGCATTTCCCAGGTACAAAGCACGTGCATTGGCGACCTCAGCTGTCAATCACTGGGTCCCGGCTGGTGATTCCCCGCCAGCACCTGATGATCACCGAGTATCAGAGTATCACTGACAATACAGATCTCTCCCCTGTCATCTCCTACACATTGCTTTGTATTGCTCTGCATAGAAGAGTGTGTGCTTACACAGTGAAACAGACACACAGAACACAGTAAAACAGCACACAGTTAACCCTTTGATCGCCCCTCATATTAACCCCTTCCTGCCCAGTGTCATTAGTACAGTGTCAGTGCTTTCTATTAGCACTGATCACTGTATTAGTGTGACTGGGGATGTCAGTGACAGTCAGCTGCCTCCCACTGTCAGAAGTCCCGCTATAAGTCGTTGATCGCCGACATTATTAGTATTAAGAAAAAAAAATTCCATATATACCGCCATTTGTAGACACTACAACTTTCATGTAAACCAATTAATTTACACATATTGTGATTTTCTTTTTAGCAAAGACAAGTCACAGGATACATGTTGGCCTAAATTTATGACAAAGTTTGATTTTTTACATTTTTTTACTGGACATGTTTAATAGCAAAAAGTCAACAATATTGTTTTTTGCTCAAAAGTGCTGGTCTTTTTTTTTTTTTTGTTTATAGCACAAAACATTAACAAAAGCACAGGAGATCAAATACCACCGAAAGAAAGCTCCATATGTGGGAAAAAAGGACATAAATTTCATTTGGGTACATTGTTGCATGACCGCGCAATTGTCAGTTAAAGTAATGCAGCGCAGTATCGCAAAGAAATGGCCTGGTCAGGAAGGGGAGTAAATTCTCTGGTGGGCAAGTGGTTAAAGTAATCCCATTTTGTTGTTTTGTAACCTGAAATGAAGACAGACACAATTTTTATCCAGCTGTATTAACTGTGCAGTTTATCCAAGTGAAATATATAACACCAACATGTCAGAAAAAAAGTTAAAAAAAATGAAAAACAGAATCACTGAGTTGGAAAAAGGATCACCATCCTCCTAAAATGACTTGTAAACTTTCTGTTAAAAAAAAAAAGACTTGTAAACTCAATAGGGTGTAGCTCATCATCTTCTCAATGGCACACAAAGCCATTTGACTTTCAAATGTGACCAGCTGTGGTCATTTTGATTAGCTCAGCATGAAACGAGAATTCCTGGAGCATTTCAGTCCCTAGTAGTGCAACTGAAGCAAACCTATGGGTGGCAAAGCACTGTCAAAAGATCTCTGGGATAAAGTTGTGGACAGGCGCAAGTCAAGAGATGAATATAAAAAAATTTAAAAGGCTTTATCAATGCCTAGAAGCACAGTGAAGTCTATTATTAAGAAGTGGAAGGTATTTGATACAACACAGACCCTTCCTGGATCAGGACGTTGTAGGAGTTTATGACAAGGAGTAGTCATTGCGTGCATGTGACCACAATATCACAAATTCTCCACAAATATGGCTTGTATGGGAGGGTTTCAAGAAAAAAGTCATTCCTCAAAAAAGGCCACAAAAAGGTGTTATGGTCAGGTGACACTAAAATTTAATTATCTGGCCCCAACACCAAACATTATGTCTGGCTGAAATCTAATACAACTCACCATCCAAATATTACCATTCCTACAGTAAAGCATGGAGGTGGTAATATCCTGTTATGGGGGGTTTCTCTGCAGCTGGGACTGGAGCACTTGTCAGGATAGAAGGAAAAATGGATGGGGCAAAATACCATAACATTTTTGAGGAAAATCTGCTGCCCTCTGCTAAAATAAAACTAAAATAAAGAATTAAAAAAAATGGGCTTCACAATGCACTGCAATAGACCAAAAATCATGCAGCAATTTTGGCATGTGTATTGCAATGTGATTCAGCGTCTGACTTGTTAGAAAATACCAGAACTAGAGAAACTGGTAGAGAGTAGGGATGAGCTTCGGGCTGGGTCGACCATGAGTTCAATCTGAACCCAAGTTGTTTGTGGTTCGAGAAAATGGCAAACTAATGCAGTCATTCATGCTTATAGCAAACAATTACAGACAATGCACTTCCTGGCTTCTGAACTGTGGTTGCTTAGAAGGGTCAATCATGAAAATTCAGCACAAATGAGCTCCCCTCCAGCCACTGCAGATGTCACATAGACAGTTCATTAGGCAAGGAGTTTTGT